AAAATTAGCTATTCTTATTATTCTTTAAGTAAGCTTTGATTGGTAAACATGTTTTTGATAGTTTGCTAGGTTTGGCATCACCGCTTAACTCATGCCTATAATGATTCCAAATATACATTAGAGGTGAAAGCTCTAACGCATTATCCAGCATTAAATATCAAATTTTTATCTTTAAAAATATTACTAGAGTTTGATAGGAACACCCGTACAGATATTTGATTTTACTTAATAAATATTTATTCGATAAATGGTTGCATATGTTTTTAACATTTATCATATTAAATAATTAATCATATACGTCTTGGTAGGTGTTTAATATTCATACACGTCTTCTTAATATCAGTTATACAGGTAATATAATGTCTCGTTAAAAATTTTACCAAAAGAATAAATGGGAAAAAACATGGTTAAAAAAGAAAGTGCAATACACAACTATTTTCTCTCATGTGTACAAATGTGGAAGACAATGTAGTCCAATAAAATAAACTAACTTCTTCAAATAACAGTGGATAACACCATGTTAAATAAATCAGCAGAATTTTCACTTGAACAAACATATATGACATGAATCATAATAAAATATTTTTTTGATATATTTGAAGGAAGCATATCTTGGGGATATTTCTTCAACGTTTTATCAAATTTAGTATTTATATTGTAACCATTTGTCTATGATATAGCTAATATAGAATACATAGGTCTACGTTCTAACCAAGACACTTTATTATTTCAAACATACAATATATGTTGTAACCAAGACACTTTATTATTTCAAACATACAATATATGTTGTAACCCTTTGTCTATGGTTAATATAGCATACGTATGTTTACGTTCTAACCAAGACACTTTATTATTTCAACCATACAATATATGTTCTATCATATATTCTATAATATATCGTAGATAGAACGTCTTGTTCTTACTTTATCATATTCTCTAACTAGTTAGAATTAATAGTATAACCTTCTATCAGTGTTCTATCCCGTTTAGAATATGTATTCTATATTTTCAGTTATTTTATGCGAAAATCTAGGAAAACTCAGTAACTACATTTTATTCAAGTTTATCTTTGGTCGAAAATTTACAGGGAATAGCGTTGAATTCATCCCTTGTTTGATTCAACGATCTTCTTCCTTTCTTCTTCTTCTCTATTTCTTGTTTATCAAATCAAATGGTTCTCATCTATATTTCATGTGGTGTTTGGAGACGGGATGTGAATAATGAGTGGAAGTTCATTGTTGATAAGGAAAAAAAGGCAGATTACTCTCGTTGGAAGCAAGTACTACACTAGAGCAATTGAAGATGATGATTTTGGAGGATTTTGGAATGGACCAGAAGATTGTTAGCGCTGAGTTGAGTTATTTTCCAAGTTCTTTGATGAGTAATTTAGGAATTCCACCAGTTGTTATTTCCAATTATCGCCAAGTTTGCAGTTTTATTGGATATAGGAAGAAAAATTCATCCATCTACTTGTGTGTGTCATTTACGGGTATGGTTGGGAAGCGAAACAACAATTTCGATCTGAATGAGGAGCCTTCTAACTCAAGTCACTTTGAAGATGATGGTAATGTTAGAGTAAATCATGACACGTTTTTCCATTCGCCAAAGATGAATGATGATTTCAGAGGCAAAGCGAAAGACACTAATGTCCACGTTGATTATGGTGCTCACAGCTTAGATTCAGAAATGATAGAATATCATGAAAAGAAAGGTGATTTTTGGTTGGCTAATTGCGTAATGAAGGATCAAGTTTTCAAAGGTAAAGACAACCGAAATCAACATTGGAAATTTATGCTATGAGATATAACTTTGACTACAAGGTTGTTAAATCGACAAGAAGATGTGGTCTGCTTTCTGTAAAGATCGCAGTTGTCGATGGAGTCTTCGTGCGTAATGTTTAGCTGGATCTAGAAGCTACATAATCAATAAGTGTGTATCTGAACATACTTGTGCTCCTTCAAATAAAAGCAGCTATGGCAAAACAGCTTCTGCGAAGACAATTGGAAACCTGATCATGCATAGATACAAAGGTGTCAAAGAAGGGCCAAAACCGAACGAAATTGTCGAGTTTACGCGCAACGAGTCTGGTTGTGAAATCTCTTATTCCCAAGCTTGGGAATCTCATGAGTATGCAGTTGCAACAGCAAGAGGATTGCCAGAGAAAAGTTTTGGTAAAATACCAAAATACTTCCATATGCTGAAAGAAGCTAATCCGGGTACACATACTCACTACACAACTGAAACTGATGGTAGATTCAAGTATTTGTTTCTTTCATTTGGTCAATCTGTGAGAGGGTTCTACAAGGCAATGAGGAGGGTGATTGTAGTAGATGGTATTTTTCTTAAACATAAATACAAAGGAACTCTACTTGTTGCTACAGCTGTAGATGGTAACTCTAACCTTTATCCAATTGCATTTTGGGTAGTTGATTCAGAGAATCATTATTCATGGGAGTGGTTTTTCATGCAGTTGAAGGTTGTTATTGATGATGATCCTGGTTTAGCATTCGTGTCAGATATAAACTCATCAATTGTCCAATCACTCAGCAATGTTTATCCACTAGCTAAACATGGAATTTGCATTCATCATCTGCTAAGCAATGTGGTTAAGAACTATAGTGTCAGAGGAGTATCATGGATGGTTGAAAGAGCTTCAAAAGCATATAGGGCTGTCGATTTTGTGAATATTTTTGATGATATTTGTGGAATGATTCAGGCTGTTGGAACATACCTTCAGACCACAGATGTGAGAAAATGGACTTGGTGTTACTTTCCTGGATTCAGGTATGACATAAGGACGAATAATCCAGCAGAATCAATAAATTCGGTACTGCAAACCCCTAGGGAGTATCCTGTGATTCCTCTATTAGACAGTATAAGGGAAATGCTTACAAGGTGGTTTTTTGAACGTAGACTGTTGAGCTCAAAGAGTATAGATCCATTAAAAATAAAGGTGGAAAAGAAGATTGATAGAAGGATTAGAAAGGCTAAAGGATTTAAGGTTTTTCCAGTTAATGAGTACAACAGTCTGGTTAGAGGTGACATCTATGATTGTCCCGTTGATTTAGCTAGAAGAACTTGTACATGTCGAAAGTTTGATTTAGGAAAAATCCCTTGCAGACATGCTATTCCAGCTACTGCTTGGAGAAGTGCGTACGAGGAAAGCATTAACCCTATACCTGTCCCAGAAGAAGAATTGTGTGTTCCTGAATGTGTTCAACATTCTAAGGTGCTACAACTTGAAACACGCAAGAGTGCTGGTAGACCAAAAAAAAGAGATATGAATCATTTGAAGACAAGATACAAACGTCAGAAGGATCACAAAGTGCTACAGAGTACAAGTGCAGTCGTTGGGGTAAAGGAGGACACAACAGAAGGTCATGTAAGGTCGCAATCTAGTTGAGATCACAATTATTAAAGTCTGGTTATTGTCTATTTTTCGGATTCAGATGTGTTTGGTTTAATATTTGTTTTGGTTTTCACACTTCTGGAGTTGTTGTTCAATTTGTTTCTTAGCGTAATTAAAGAGTTTTGTTATTACTTGTCAAACAAACCAAAAAACACAGCTTTTAGATGTGGAAGACTGTTATGTCACGATGTATTTTATGATGGCTCGCAAGCTAATAATAACAGTGATAAGGAAACAAAATGAAAGAGATCAACAATAGTTTATATAGTCTGATGGTTCGCATGAGTAAGACAAACTTTCCCAAACAGGGTTCGATCAACAACTATTGCACATTTTTGAATACTTTTATTAAATGCTTATATTATTTTTATAAACTTGCGTAGAACAATGACAATATATTACAATAGCACAGTTGGTATTAGCTCTCTTTAATAAGTTTAGTCATGTGGGTTCGAGTCTATGTGGTAGCACGAATTTTTTTTTTTTTTACAATACAATTTAACTCACTATAATCATTATTATGTCTTTTACCAAAATCAAAACTATTATAAACACAGACACAATTAGAATAGATGTTAAATTTGATTTGAAACTAAAATGTTACTAAAACAAATGTGAATAAAAAAAGAGAAACAAAAACTAATAGAAATTTATATACACAAAGAGAGCAACAATGTTCAATTTATATGAATATAATCGAGAGGATCAACTTCAGGTGGCTCATACTTCGACATCCGATCCATCAACTCTGGATCATTGGCAGCCTGCCAAAGATCAACTGCTATCTTATATCGACAACCCAAGATGTTCTCATCATCAACCAAATAAGTGTCCGACCAAGTAGATGACATTCCATAAATTTTATAGCATATACTCCACAATCACAGCAAGTCTTGTTTAGTCTACGTTTCATTGAACATGGACAATGGAATATTGGGTTACGATAAAATGCTTCTGGGTGTTGGAAGGCTGAACCGCCTTCACAATTCGCGGTATCATGATAGCAAATTTTTAACTACATTTCGATGATCACCACCACTACAATCCCAAACCTCGACTTTTCTTTCATGGATGTCTATGCACATAGATTACCATTGACCTACAATGGTAAGTAGATACGATCAATATCCACTCCCCAAACTTTTCTTGTTCTTCCATGAAATGGACGCTCACCTTTCCCATAACTTAACATGAATTCATCCATCACAAATTCTTTTTTGTTATTCTCAAATTTCGAGTATGATGTGCTAAGTTGCAAGCAGAATATACATGTCATGAAAACTGCACGAACTGGTTTCCAACGACGCAAAGTTGTTTGCTCTCGCCACAAGAACATAACTGAATCCATATCCTGAAATTAATTACACAAAGCTCAAATATGTCTCTAAATAAGTATTCATATTTTTATAGTATTACTATTCCTGTTACTAAGCCATTCTGTTTGTTTCATAATCCGATTCGTCATAACCATATCAAACACATGAGGACCAATGTTTACATTTCTGAAACAAAAGAATAACTCAAAAAAATTTATCACATTTGAAATATTATTAAGCATAAAATATAAATTTCAAGAAATAATAAATACTTACATAGGTTTCATAGACCGGTCGCTGAATTGGTTCCAGATCTCGTCAGACACAAATGTCAATGGGGAATCAGCAAATTTATTCGGGTCTGATGGATCATCCGTCAATTTTAGCTCTCTTCCATGTTTTGTTCCCCAGTTCTCACCAAAAGAACTTGTATGTTTAGGAATTTCAACTCTGCTAGCTTGAAATGAAGTAGAAGGAGTCCACCAAGGATTTGGTTTTTGGGCCTTTGAAAGAGGTGTTGTGTCAAAATCAGTAACGTTGGACTCTTGTGATAATCCTTTTCCTACATTACTCAAATACTCTTGAGTCTTCATGTTCATATTGATATCTGAACTTTGACTAAAATTGAAGTCAAAAAGATTCTCCGCCTCTCTTTTCTTTTCTTCGTGGAATATATCATTCTGTTAACACAGTAAAGTGAATACAAAAATTTTGATTAAAACAAGTATAAATAACAAAGTGAAGCCAATCATATAAATCATACATCCATATAACAATAAAAGATGGAAACAGCCTCTTAATACATGCGTTCAATCTACAAAATACATTTATAATATTCACCTATTACATTTAACCACACCATTTTAATTATATATCGCACATTAAGGTTCCTTACAAGCCGAATATTAAGTTACAAAACATTATAAAACTTGAGAAGAAATTTAAAGTTTTTTACTTCTTCCCCTTCTAACGGTTTTTGGTGGCCGAGTGTTTATCGTGGCCGGTTCTGAGGATATCGCAGCTTCTGTTTTACCTTGGGCAGGGTTGATATCATTCGTAAGTTGTTGTCTAATTTCACACTCCAAAGCATCAAGCCTCGACTGAATTTTCTGCTTCAGCTTCTCCCCCAATGCAGTGACAGATGCTGCAATCACACTTTGAAGGAATTTCTTCAAGTCATCATTCACAATAAGTTGTGGTGGGTTTGAGCGCTCAAAAAGCAGTTTCTGCTTCCGTTTCTCGAATCCATGATCAATAGCCTTCTTTTTACCTCTAGTAGAACCTGAATGTATGGAATTTGTCTCCTCACCATCTCCATTTTCCATCTCCACATCTGCCTCCTCTTCTTCCTCATGTATGGACGTTTCCACTCGTTTAACTACTTCCCATACATGTGTACTCCAATCATAGCCTTCCTTGATTAGCCCTTCCAGAACATCAACTCGACAGTCTTTTACATCAGCTCTAGCAGAGTAAATGTCGTCTACTAGGTTCTCATTTCCGGTCCAAGAAATGTAAAGATAGATGTCATCTTGAAAAATATCATATATCATTAACAAAATATCAATATATCATTAACTCAAGCTAATGTAAATTTAAATCACCGAGGATGTAATTGTCTTCTCTAGTAAACTTATATCATCATATGACACCTTTGCCGCTCCTTGCCAGTTAGAGCATCTTGGACCAGCTTTGAACTCTTCAAAGCGTTTTGTCCCCAACAACTTCCCAACAGCCGGAATCGCTTCCATAACCCAAATCTGCAGAGCATACGAGAAGCCTTATAATACATAGCTCTTTGGCGCCTTCAACATCTTTTTTGGTTCTTGAAGACATACTTGAGAAGAAGATCATAACTGACACGACCCCATGCATATGCTCTAAGCTTCTCGATATCCATTACCACTTTTATGTACTCAAGTGAGATCACAACTCCGTCAGCCCTCGCCAAAACCACACCCACAATCACACACAAATAGATCAACTTGAACCTGTCCCCTCGCCTCCAATCATCAGCACCACCTATATGATCAGCCCAAATCTTTTCAATGGTTATGTTCTCTTCTCTCCTCAGAAACCTGCTCCAAAAGCCAACATCATCTACCCATTCCTCAAAATCAATTTCTTCAGAAACCTCGCATTTGAGACCCGTTACTACGTAATACTCTTGCATTGAGAATCGTAGTGGCCTCCTCGCAAACTCAAACCATAACTCATGTCTTTTGTCGGTTACCAGCTGCCTGACCAACATGCTGTGTATCATCCTTGCTGAATACTTTAATTTGTGGCGATGAAACGCCAAAATATAAGCAAACACGGGATCTATCTCCACTTCCTCATACTCATTTTTAAACCGCGACTTCAGTTTATCTAAAATCCCTAGTCTGCAGTAGTTATTGATGTTTGAAACTTCAGGCTCAGACCCTGGTTTGAACAACCGTTTTGGAAGCTCAGAATCCATAACCTGCAAGGAAACAACAACAAAAAAAATATATCAACGCTTTACACCTTAAGAAACAAGATTCAAAGTCATCATTCAAAGAAACAATATTCAAAGTCATCATCAATGATAGCAGAGAAGTGTGAAAAATAAACGAGCTCAAGCAAACGAGCTCAAAAGAAACAAGATTCAAGTAAAACAAGTGTGAAAGAGCAAGTGTAATGATCAACGAGCAAGACGAACTCAAGTAAAACAAGTGTGAAACAAGTGTAATGATCAAAGAGCAAAGAACTCAAGATGTAGAAATATAAACTAAAGTGACCAGCTTCTTTCAGGCATTTTAACGAACAGATCTTGTGCAATCGAGCACACAATGTCTAGCCCCTATGCGTTTATGAGCAAGAGCTCTATTTTATGGAATTCCCAGGATAAATCAATGAGAAAAACACACAAACCCGCATTTCTACTTTGATTATATATCTATAGGAAGATTACTTATCAAACATGATTCATCGGCAATACACAAACCCGACTACTTTGATTATATCACTATCAATCCCTGTCCCAAAACAAAAACAATTCTTCAAGTGCTTCTAAAACTCCCAAAACGATCCGATAGCTTAACATAAATTCCCAGAAGAGAACACGAAGGAAGAACTTACGATAATGGAGAGAGGAATCCGACAATGGAGAGAGGAAGCCGATAAACGGAGAGAGGAATCCGACAATGGAGAGAGGAAGCTGATAAACGGAGAGAGGAATCCGATAATTCGAGAGAGGAATCCGATTATGGAGAGAGGAATCCGATTATGGAGGGAGGAATCCAATAGCCTCAAGTTCTTTCGGCTGGCTGAGTCAAAAAGAAAGAGGAGAACGAGACATATAGTTTTAGTGTTTTTTCCTTTTTTAACCACATAAATTAATATCTTTATTTTTCAATTCAAAATTATTTAAAATTTTGATTATTAATTTAAAACAAAAACCGAACCAAGAACCGAACGGATGAATTTTTTAAAAAAATATAAATATTCACTATTTGTAATTTTAATATTTATAAAATGTAATTTGTAAAAAAAATATCTAAAAACCCGAATTATCCAGGAAAATTTTGGATCTTTCCAGGTTTAACTCGGTTTTCGGATTTTTGTTTTTGTTTTTGGGCTTTCAACCCAAACTAAACCAGATGTTTTTCTAATTCTGTTCCACTTTGGATTTTATTAAAAAAAGGAATTCGAACCGAACCCGACATTACCCGAGCCGATCCGATCTGGAAAATTTCCAGTTCCTAAACTCCCCAACTCAAATAACCCGAAAACCGAATAATCCGATCCTAGTATCACGGTACTTGGAATATTAAGACATATATATGTACCTATGATTTTTCGGATTGGTTCTGAATCCGAGAAAGAAATGACATACACAAACTCACTCAACTTTAGTCATTATTTGTCATATATATCTAAACCCTAAACCTTAAAAATTTAAAAATAACATAAATGAAACTATTGATAATTAAAATAAAACATTTTAAATTCTAAATTTTCGTTTTAAAACTTGATATTACTTTAAAATGTTACAAAATAATAATTAATATTGTTAACAATAGATATTTTAACTAAATCAAAAATTAGAACACAAAATAATCATAATTATTAATATACATGTTTTTAAATCGGATATAAATCACTTCTTATCGGGTCATGTCAATTTGGTTTGTTTCTTTTTGGTCAGGTTCTATTCTGATGAAAGACAAGTAGTTTTAGTGATAATGCCACATCCAACTTAAGCTTTGTAGGATGATTCCAAGATGATCAGATACATACATTTTTTATATATTTTTACAATACAACTACAAATCACAAACGAAATATCATCTACATCCATTTACATTGAAAAAAGATAAACAACACATCGATCGAACTATTTCAATAATACATGAAGATTGGACAGGTGGTTCCAACTTCGACATCCGATCCACCAACTCTGGATCATTGGTAGCCTGCCAAAGATCAACTCCTATCTTATGTCGGCATCCCAAGATGTTCTCATCACTAACCAAAGAAATGTCTATTCCGAGGAGGTGATACTCCATAAATTTAATGGCATATATGCTCCACAATCACAACCAGACTTGTTTAGACTTCGTTTCATTGGCACATGCTTGATGGAATTTGGCTTCACGACCAATTGCTTATTGGTGGTGGGAGACTGAACCGCCTTCACGATCTTTGGGATCATGATAGCAAATTTGTTAACTGTGTTTCGATGATTACCACCCAAACAATCCCAAACCTTTATATTTCTTTCAGAGATGTCTATGCACATGGAAATCCAGTGATTCCTACTGACACACAATGGAAAGTAGATACGATCAATGTCGACTCCCCACACCTTTCTTGTTCGGCCTTCCAATGGAAGCTCACCATTCCCATAACGTAACAAATATCCATCAATCACGAATCCTTGTTTCTTACGCAAAAAAGACAAGTATGATTTGTTGACTTCCATGCCGAACCAAGAAATCATGAAAGCCACACGATCTGGTTTCCAATGGCGCAAAGTTGTTTGCTCTCGCCACAAGAACATAAGTGAATCCATTTCCTGAAATAAAACATCATTCAAATACATTTAACTGATAACTCATATTTGAATAGAAATAGTGGTTGCAGTATTGCTAGCCAAGCTGCTTAACCATTCTGACTGCTTCATTATCCTCTTAGCCATTGCCATAACAAATAAATTTGGACCAATTTTCAGTTTTCTGAAAAAGGAAAAAGTAACCGAACTTGTTAATCAAATATAAACATACTTTTTATGTTCAGATTATAAATTTATAAAACAAAAAAAAAAAGTACTTACGTGGGTTTCATAGACCATTCGTGAAATTGGTTCCACAATTCTTCAGACACAAATGTCAATGGAGAATCAGCAAATTTATTTGGGTTTATTGGATCATCCGTCAATTTGAGCTCTCTCCAACGTTTTGTTCTCCAATTCTCACCAAAAGGACTTTATGTTTTGAGGAAGGTACTCGAACCAAACCAGTTACGTTGGAGTCTTGTGAGGATGTCACTATGTCTCCATCTCGTCTTGTACTGTGGGCAGGTTTGATGTCATTTCTTAGTTGTGTGATTTGACACACCAAACCATCAATCCTCGTCTCAATATCCTTGTCAAGCTTCTCCCCCATTGCAGTGATAGATGTTTGAAACGTATGCTGCAAGAATCTCTTCAAGTCTTCATTCACATCAAGTTGTGGAGAGTTTGAGCGCTCAAAGAACAGTTTCAGCTTGCATTTCACAAATCCATGATCAGAAGCTTTCTCCACTTGTTCCTCAACATCTTCATTCTCCATCTCCACACCGCCTCATCTTGTTCCTCATTTATGGAAGCTGTTTTCAATCGTTTTGGAAGCTCATAATCCATAACCTGCAAGCAAACAAAAAATAAGAAAAATAGATCAATACTTTACACCTTAAAGAATCAAATTCGAGTTCAAGTAAAAACAATAACCAACCAAGACGAGCTCAAGTACAATAAAGAACCAAAACGAGCTCAAGTAAAACAATAACATTCATATATACCTTCACCAAGAGGAAGACAAAACTGTGTTTGATATTTTGAGTGAACCGAGTTCCCTAGAGTGTCCAACCTTCTTTGTTTTATTGACCTATGAAATAAAGAAAACAAGTTATAGGCTTGTTAGGACCTCTAAACAATCAAAAATCATAACAGTTGATAACAAAAAGTTGCGACTTTTGAGTTCCTAATGAATTCAATATGACTTTGAATCACATTCCTCATAATCAAAGAATTATTCAATGCATGTTAAATCCCAAAACGTAAGAGAAGAAGAACACTTGAAGCAAACACTTATTCAAGTTGAAATTCGAAATCAGAAAGAGGATTCGTCAGAGAGAGGATTCGTCGGGGAGAGGAGACGGGTCCGAGACGGAGCTTCGTCAGAGAGAGGAGACACGGGTCAGAGACAGAGCTTCGTGGGAGAGAGGAGACACGGGTCAGAGGCGGAGCATCGTCGGAGAGAGGAGACACGGGTCAGGCGGAGCTTCTTGGAGAGAGGAGACACGGGTCAGAGAGAATCTACAAGCTGTGAGACTCGACAGCTACAAGAGTGACCGCCGGAGAGAGGCCGGACTTCGCCGGAGAGAGGCCGGAGAGAGAGAGAGAGAGAGCACCTCCTGCTTGGTTTGTCTCCTTGGTTTGTCGGAGAACGAGACGGAGAACGGAGAAAACAAAGAATGCACTTATTAAGGTTTTTAAAAAATAAAATTAATAAACAAAATACTAAAATTATAGAGTTAATTTTGTATTTAATTGGGTAAAGGTATATTGAGACAAAAATAAAATGGGTAAAGATATAATGTGACAAACCCATCCTCGAATTGGCCCGATTAGCCAATTTTCTCTAATTTTTATCCTACTAAACTTTTCTATGACAAAGTTTTAAAGAGACAGCAAAAACACACATAAATGATAAACATTCAAGAGGAATATTTAAAATTTAGTCAAAAAAAAACATATATGACATGAACATCACCATTCTTCTACAGTGTATTGGTCTTGTTTTTTTGGTCATTTCCGGTAATTCTGTTGATCTCAAAGACTATAAAACACAAACAGAATTTTATCTCTGACTGCTACTAATTGACTAATTGCTTTGCTATACAGTTAAAGTTCAAAAAAATGATTAGGCAGACACTGTATCTATCTTATTAATACAAAAACATAAATATCATTAGTAATTAATAAAAAAAAAACATTGAGGGTAATTTTTTTTTTTTACAACGAAAGGCTGATCTATTACTCAAGCTTGAGGTGGTCTGGGAATCCAGACCGGAATAGAACAACCAACATACATCAGATCGCGATAGAAGGATCGGGCAGTCTTAGCTAAATGATCGGACACAACATTTTGAGATCTAGGTACATAAACGATCTTAAAATCCGGGAAACAAATTTTCAGCGTCAAGAGCCTCTTCAGTTCCGTCGAAAAGCTTGGCCATTCATGGGGGTTTGTGAGCATCGCTATCAATTCCTAATAATATGAAACATCATTATACTACTAATAATATTTCCAAACAATATAATAACTAAACACATTTTATCTCATCTTTTAATAATTTGCATATACATCTTAATACAAATTATTTGATCAAAAATTCAAATATAAATAATTTATACACTAAACTTTTCAAGTTTATATAATAAAATATTTTAATTTAATATTTAATAAATTAATTAACAGATTAGTATATTTTTATTTTCATATATAGATAGATATAACATTCATATAAACATAAACTTTTTATATCAAATTAAAGACTGGATATAAATAAAATTTTATCTCATCTTTTAATAATTTGCATATTCATCTTAATACAAATTATTTGATCAAAAATTCAAATATAAATAATTTATACACTAAATTTTTCAAGTTTATATAATAAAATATTTTAATTTAATATTAAATAAATTAATTAACAGATTAGTATATTTTTATTTTCATATATAGATAGATATAACATTCATATAAACATAAAATTTTTATATCAAATTAAAGACTGGATATAAATAAAATTTTAAAATCAATAACATAAAATTAAATAAATTTAATATGAAAAAGTTAAATATCATATTTAAAAATAAATAAATACATAGATTTATAACAGTTCATTACGAGAATTCGTTATACGGACTAAAAATAAAAAAAAATTACTACAAATATGAGACAGTTAAATTATATAACATTATCATATACACCAAAATATTTTTATTTCTTTTATTCATTTTAATTTTGTTATAAAAAAACTTTTGGATTAGAAAATAGTAATAACTTATTACCATGCTTGTACGTGTAATTTGAATCGTCTTAGCCTTTGTTCTAAAATGTGATCTACTCGGTGATTAACCGGAAGAATAACGTTTAGTGGGGGTGAGCTGTTGCGATATTGATATACTCGGTCAAAAACTCAGGAATGTTGAAAAATCTCTTTGTAACGTTAGTTTTTAGTGAAATCCGATGTACTAATAATAGATTTGTGGATTTTTGGTGTAAAGTTGAATTTATAAAGAGAAAATGATGAAAAAATTAAGCGGCTGTGCAATTAGGTTTTGCAGAACATGAAAAAGATGAATGCGAAAAGATAGTCTTATCCTTCACTAAAATTAAAAAGAAAGATTACTTGCTTTATTTCATACTCAAACCCTGGATCTCTCAGTTTGCAAAACAGGCTAGACCACTATACTGTAACAACTTTAATGTATTACTTAAAAAATATCTTATGTAACAGATATAAATATATAAAAAGCCATAAAATTAATTCCCGAATAATTGATTTGGCACAAGGCCAATCCAACTGCACGCGTAACACCTAACGCAATCCCGAGCACTGCTCTTAGCTAATCTAATAATTGTGCATTCCTGGAAAAAGTCTTTTTTCATATAATTCTTCTAGATGTTTTTCTTCCTTTTCAATTTTTATTCCGAATGTTAAAAAATACAAACATAAACATAGGAAGTGTTAGTGGAAATGACATTTGTAATAATTATTAAATTTTACAGAATCTAGTGTTATTGGTTTAATAATTCTCATATTCCTACTAAAATCTAATGTATGATTTTAGAATTTTTTACAAACTCCTTAGTTACTAAGAAAAAAATTGGAATTTTAATGATTCGATAAATCTATTAAAGTTAATGTTGTTGTGAGTTAAATACTTGATAATTTTCTTCAAGTCTTTTCAAATTCAATAAAATTCTCAAATTTTAAAATTAATAAACTCTATATAAATATTAATCCCACTATAGGTTCTTTTTTCCTCACCCTAAAGATAATGTGTGAAGCAGTAACCGTAACAGATAAACAACACACATGGATTCACCTACAAATATAGAACATAAGAAAGGTCAGCAATTCTCAATCTAAAGAAAGAAAAGAGAATGCGAGCTCTTTTTCTTAAAAAAAAAAGAAGAAAATTATGTTTCTCAGCCGCGCAGTTGGGTCCGGACTGAAGTAGAAAGTACAGACAAGACAAAGAATCCTCGTCCGTATCTATACAAAAACTTCACACAGATAAATAAAAAAAAGCCTTTCCTGTTTTTTTTTTTTTGAACTGTGCACATATACACATTTCCTCTTATATATGTGATTCCCACTCAGTTCTTATACATAAATAGCTGTTCTTTTCGTCCGGAGATTATATATAAATCAACATCACATGCTTCTATATAATAGTAATAATAATGATATAGATTAAGAATTGCAAAAGGTGATCCAGAGTCCTTTTTTTCTTTGGAGGTGATCAATTCAAAAGGATCGACGGATTTCTCGGCCTTGTCTTGTGAATCTGCTACCTGTTAGAGGAAGAGAGGTCTGGCTCGAGAGTTGTAGGTCAGAGAAAGGAATTGAGCCACCGCTCTGGGAGAATATCAAACCTGCTGAGATGTTAGATGTGGTTCTTGTAGTAGGCAGTCCGGACAAGTATTGATCATTTTCAGCTCCAGATATGAGCCCAGTCGACGAAGGGGGGGCCCCGACTGCGAGAGCACCCAAGAGAGAGCTCACCGGTGCATCAGCGAGTGAGGACGCAGAAGCATTGTATGCCATTGGATGATCAAATTTACACGTTGATCCAAACTTACAGAAACCGTTTTGTATGTAGAAAGTGCAGCGTTGCACACCCTGTTAGAGAAGAAAACAATTATGATCAAGCCCAAAGATTGCAATAATCAGCAGTGTAGAAAGAGCATACCGGGCGTAGAGGAAGACCAATGGGGCTGAGGTTACAATCAGCTCTTGGTGGAACCCGATCTCGAGGATGATGAAACTTGCAAGATGTTCCAAATTTACAATCTCCTGTCTTCAGATAGTACTGGCACTCTAATTCACCGGGTCTCTCTGGAAAGCTATGAGTAACACCTGTAGGAGAGGGCAGAGATGGATAAACCCCGGGAGTGGTGGAAGAGAGCTGTGCAACTCCGTATAAAGAAGTTGCCCCAGGAGATAGAGCAGGGCTCACAGGTGCCTGGATGGAAATCAAAATTAACAGAGGAGAAGGAAGCAAATTAAGAAAGAAATAAATAAATAAAGGAAGGGTGGTCACCGAGTAAGGACTCCAGCCTTGAATAGGAAGCACTCCTGGGGTTAATAGCATTGGACCATAGGCGCCTTGCATATAAGAACCTGGAAGAAGAGTTCTGGCAACTCTCAAGCTAGAGGATGGAGCTCCAGGCATAAGTGACTGCTGCACCGATGGATAAAACTGAGGTGCAGATGCTGGTGGCGGTGGTGGTGGTGTTGCAGCAGCAACAGGCTGAGGATGATGAAATTTACAGGTAATACCAAATTTGCACTGCCCCGTTTTCAAATAGTAGGAGCATTCTTTCTCACCACCCTACAAAGAACAGAGCAACCGAACCCTTGATTACATATATACATACATAAATGTATTAAAACAAGGGAAAAACAAAGCTTACCTGTCGTACAGGGTATCCATAGATATTGAGAGGAACGTGGCTCATGGATCCACCAGCATTCCTTGGATGGTTGAATTTGCATGACGCCCCAAATTTACAGGTTCCAGTTTTCAAATAAAACTGCAAAGAAAAAGAGAAATTTTACAGTCGATCGATAATCACTAACAAGAAAGAAAGAAAGAAAGAAAAAAAGAAACTTGGAACATTGAGAATGACCAGGGGTTTTTACCTGACATGGAGGTTCACCAATGCGTTCTGGATACTGCCCTGTAGCTCTAACAGTAGCTTCAACCTACATAGATGGAGATTGTAAACTGTTATTACTAGCTGATTTTACAACATCATAAAACTACATTGCCCACGGAAGCTTATCACTCACATTACAAGGGATTAAGAAAGAAAAAAAGAGGAGATGCATTTTGAGAATATCTAGAAGGGTTAGAAGAGTTTTACGGTGGCACGATCAGGAGGATGATTGTAACGGCATCGAGAACCGTAACCGCAGACACCAGTACGCATGTAGTAGGGACAGTCAGGGGCAGCTGGTCTCTCTGGGTACGTCTCACTACCCAGCCCTAATCGCCACATCGATTCTGCAGATGCATGATACAAAGCACAAATTTACTATTAAAGAAAAACAACTAGCTGAGAACCCATCCAGAGGCATGTGAATCAAAAGAAGAGACCTTCGAGTCCAGTGTCAGCATCTCCATGTGCAGATTGCGAGCCATACATGTCCATGGAAGCACCCTTTCCTTTTTTTTAGGGATTTGGTGTACAGTAAAGAGTTAAGTAGAACTCTCTCACCTAACCTGCCTTCTACACACACACACAGAAAGTAAATAACGAAGAAATGTCAAAAGGTCGTCATCATCGGGGGATCTACGGAGATTTCATTTACCGGAGAAAGAAAGCTGTGAGATGCTTCGACACTGATTCCTTCTTCTTCTCTTCTCTCTCTCTCTCCCCCCTTCTTTCGCCCGTACTGTTTCTTTTTCTGCTTTCAATTTTTGTTTTCTTTCTAATATTATTGATTTCACATTTTATTTATTTTTTGGTCTTTGTGTCGCCAAGTAAAAGCATCCCAGAAAGTTAAAGTCAAGATATTTCCAAGGGACATAAATTAATCTCAACCTTTTGTGTTTTCTTCCTGTAATTAAAATTCCTTGTCTTGATATAAAGAGTCTTACTCTATACAAGTCACATTTACCCTTAGGCATGCGCGTTCGAACCCCTTCTGATTCATTTCGATTTCGATTGATTCAGATTTTAGGTTTCATACGTATAAGTTCCATTCAGATTTTACTAATTATAAAGTCAGAATCGGTTCAGTTCATTCAGGATTTGGTACGGAGCGAATTATAAACAAAGTATAAAATCACCCAAAAATATTGACAAAAAAATACTTAAAATATATAAATTATTCATAAATCTAATTAAAAACTAATCAAACTACCTAATCTAACTAAAAATTGTTCAAAAAACAAATAAAATAAACTATAAAGTCTTTAAAATACTCTAAAACATCTAAATTACCACAGCATATATATAAAATTATCAACATATTTTACTAATTTTGAATATTATCGGATTCTAGTTCGGATTTCGGTTCGGGTCGTACCCAAACCCCAAAGTATCAATCTCTTAAACTTAAATCAAATATTTTTGTATAACGGTTTAGATCTGGTTTCAGTTGTTTGATTTGAATTAAGGTAGGGACTTCGGTTTGAGGTAAAACGCCCATGTCTTTTTACCTATATTGAAATAATATCTCCAACCACTTCTATTTTATCACTATATTTTTCAAAAAGTAGAAAATCTCTATTATAGAGATAGATTTACTCCAATGCATGTCTCTATAATAGAATTCATTTATCTATAGAAAAAATACAGAGACATGTTATTTTCACTTCTAAATATAGAAATAAAAAGTAACATTCCTTTATATTTTCTTCTAAAATAGAGAAATTTTATTATAAAATCATATATTGGAAAAAATCCACCTCTATAATAGATATCTTTATTTAAAAAAAAAATATGGAGGTGTACGTTGAAGATACTCTAATTACATTTTAGGACACATCTTACTACTAAGACAACATTTTTGTTTTTTTCCAATACAATTTTATCGCCTTCAAACCTGTTACCTCACATGATAAACCCCACCTAAAAAAATAAAATTTAACTAAACTACAAACCTTTATTAGCTAAAAAGGAATTTTTTCGCAAAAACCGTAAAAGTCACGTTTTCCGTCAATCGTGCTTTTTTAAAACCTTCACTGCATTTCATCAATGTATAAACATCATCTTTAAAACAAATTACACAAGATTACATTCATGTTGTATGGAAATTTAAAAAATGTAATTTGCAACATTTGGACATCTTTTAGTTTGATATATATGGAAATTTATAGAGGTTCAGTGAACATGTATACACCATAGTTTATTTAAATATTATCAAATCTCTCAGTCTTTTTTTTTCTCTTGTAAACTCCAACACATGTGAAATGACCTTTTAACCATATAACATTTTTTCAGAATCAAAGGCTTAAACGAATGTAAGGCTTAATCATACAACTTACAAAGCATGAATCAATCTAAAGAAACTGAAAAACAAAATCACAACCCTTTATGTACACACACACACATATATATATTATTTCATAACCGAGCACAGAGAGATTTGTGTGGTAAGATTTTGGAATCTGAGTACAAATCGAATCGATAACATGATTTTCGGTTTTGGCAAAAAAATGATTATACGGTTTTGACAAGAAGATGTGAATTTTCGCTTTGGGTGAAAAATATTATATGGTGATTTGACGAGAGAACGTGATTTTTCAGTTCAAGTGGTAAAATGTGATTTAACAGTAAAACATGATTTCACGGTTTTAGTGGAAAACATGTTTTTTTGGTTTCGACGGGAAATATGATTTGTGGTTTAATAACAAAATATCTATTTAATTTTGATGGGAAAACATGATTTTCTAGTTCTGGCGGAAAATATGATTTTTTTAGCAAAAAAAACATGATTTTGTGATCCTGGTGAGAAAACGTAATTTTGTGTTTATACATAATTTATTTTTTATTAATTATTATTACATACTGATATTTTTTTAAAAAGTAAAAAAATCTTTATTAGAGAGATAATTTTACTCAAATGCATGTCCCTATAATAGAATTCATTTATCTATTAAAAAAGTATAGAGATATGTTATTTTCACATCTAAATATAGACACAAAAAGTAACATTCCTCTATATTTTTTTCTACAATAGAGAAATTCTATTATAAAATCATATATTGGAACAAATCCGTCTCTATAATAGATATCTCTATTTTAGAAGAAAATATAAAGGTGTACGTTAAAGATACTCTAATTACATTTTAGGACACATCTTACTACTAAGAAAACATTTTTTTCTTTTTCCAATACAATTTTCTCGCCTTCCAACCTCTTACCTCACATGATAAACCCCACTTACAAAATTAAAATCTAAGTAACATTTAACTAAAATACAAAGCTTCTATTAACTAAAAAGGAAATTTTTTGTCAAAACCGTAAAATCACATTTTTCGCCAATCGTGATTTTTAAACCTTCACTGCATTTCATCAATGTATAAACACCATCTTTAAAACAAATTACACAAGATTACATTCATTTTGTATGGAAATTTACAAAATGTATTTTGAAACATTTGGACATCTTTTATTTTGATATATATGGAAATTTATAGAGGTTCAGTGAGCATATATACACCATAATTTCTTCAAATATTATATATAATAGTGCATTTTAAGGCTTCTCAAGGTGTCCACGTCAGCAGGCGAGTGGGTTCTGCCGTGTGTGTTTTAAGAAAAAAATAATAGTATAAAACTTTGTCACGCTGATTGTTAACAACAAATGATGACTTGGTCGAGTGGTCCAAGAAGGATGTTGAAAGTTTTGTTCCACAAGTTTACGGGTTCGAAACTCATAGCTTTCATGTCTAATTTTTTTTGGGTTAGATTTAATTTTTTTTCTATTTAAGCCCAGTAAGGTTTAAAAAATACTAAGTGCCCCTTTCAAGCCCACATCTCTCTCCTAACCCTAGCGATCACCGGCTACAAATGTCACGACTAATCCTAATCATTTCCGCTCTGAGTATATCGACGTTATCACCAACTCTCTCTCTCTGGTCAATTTCGGCATTTACCATGTCAAAGAAACCTGAATCTTCCGACTTGTAATTCTCCCCCTAGATCTTAGCGTTTTGTTTTCCGATCACAAAGTTTCAAATTTTCTTATCGAGATTAGGGTTTGTAGTTCATCTCTCCTCTAATAAGCTGGTTTTGACTCATGGGTTTTTGTTAAAGAAAGTCGAATAATGATTTCAGTACAGCTATCCTTGAGAGAAAGAAGCCTCCTAATCGAATTGTTGTCGACGAAGCCGTTAACAGTGACCACTCTGTCTCTCTCTCTCTCCATCACTCCACCGTGGAAAACGCCCCAGCTTTTCCAAGCGATGCAATTCTCAACAAGGTTTGTTTTTTGTATTATTATTTTTTAAATTTCTTAAATCTGAATTGCTGAAATATGAGATTGATTGTTGGTTTTAATTATTACCAATTTATGGTTTTTGCTTACTTGATTGATGAATTGTTACGTGATTGCACTTCTCTCTTGATTTGTTGTTGAATTATACATCAATGTGACCTCTTTTCAGTTGTTATTATATTTGTAAAAGCATGGAGTTAGGGTCTACTTGTCATGTCCTTAAATATGATCTACTTTTGGATTTTTCAGGGTTGAAAAAAGCTGTATACATTGTGCTTGCTGATGAATCAATCATGTGAGGAACCTAAGAACAGAATGAACAAGGTTGTATGGAAACTTGAGGTTTAGACTGGGTGATGGCACCTCTGTTTACCAATGCCTGATATATGGTGTTTTTAGCGTATTCTAACAATGTTTTCTAAAGTGTTTTTGAATCTTTATCGAGTCTTTTTAGTCCTTTTCAAGTCATTACAGGTCTGGAGTTGCATTGGATGGAAGATGGACCAGCTGGAGTAAAAGAGTGCAGTTTGATGATTTTCATGAAGAACAGTCTGTTGGACTGTTCTCGAGTGAGCGGAGCAACCCGCCGTACGGCGAACTAGTCGGTCCCGGACCAGCTTGCCGTACGGCGAGCTGGTTCAACCAAACTAACTCGCCGTATGGCGAGCTAGTCACTCCCCGAACAGCTTGCCGTACGGCGAGCTAAACCGTCACCGGTTCGGTTCGCCGTACATCAAGCTGACCGTCCCGAGCCTCGATCTCCCACGTCCTCGACTCAAGGCATACATCCTACGGCTCGACCGTGTTTGGAACTACGGTTGAAACGTCTCTCATTTTGATGCAATCCTGAGCAGCAGCAAGTATAAGGACAAGAAGGTCTGGTTTAGATCAAAAGTAACAGAAACTGTTGCACAATCTGTGGGAGTTCTTATTAACCTTATTGGGCTCATTCATGAAATTTTAGACAGAGAAAAGATACTGGTTTGGTTGCTGGACGTGTTGGGCTTCTAAATTGGTATTTGGGCTTGTGTTTGATCAGAATATTGAGCAAGAAGAGTGTAGAAGAAGCCTTGGACGAAAATTAGAAGAAGAGCTGCAACCAACATTGTCCCAACCACTTACATTTATTGCCTTGTCTGTTTTGTGTTTTCTATGCT